GGGAGTGCCCGGGGTCGCCCCCGCCAAGGGGTTCCCTGCTTGGCAGCTGAAGAAGCCCCCAAAGGGCACCGCATACTGGCTGCCCCCCTCATAATCCTGGCTCACACACACCCTGAGCTCATCAAAGAGCTTCAGTGGGATGTACCCTGAGGGGCAGGACTGGGCACCAGTGATGGAGTTGGCACTGTGGGCGCTGAACAGTCCCCCAAAGAGGTATCCTGAGCTTGGGGCCACCGGCCCACTCGTAGCGCACCAGTAGGCACTGAATTGCACCCGGGAGAGCAAGAAGACGTCCCGGCACTCGCGGTGGCAGAATATGCCCAGGATGCACTTGTTGTGGCACTCCAGATGGCTGTGGCCTTCCTCCCGCTCCTGCACACCCAGCAGCACCGGCGTGTAGGTGGTGGGGCAGGAGAAAGCCCCAGTGAGGGGGTTCCTCTGCTCCAGCCCCTGGCACAGCGTGCCAGTGTCGGGGCCGGCCAGCCCGGCACACTCCTGGAAGACTCCCCCGAAGGTGAAGTTGGTCATGGCACCCTCGCAGGAGCCATCGTCGGCATTGGCATGGAAGTTGAAGTTGGGTGAGGTGGCGTCGGTGCAGCCTGGGTAGGTGTTGAAGGTGTAGTAGCGGCGGATAGCCATCTCCACTCGCCTGGCCAGCTTCTTCACCGTGGGGGTGGGCAGCTCTGGTAGGGTGCTGGGGTTAATGAAGAAGTACAGGGGCAGCCCTGAGCGGTCAAGAGCCACCAGCTGGTTTCTGATCCCCTCCTGCCAGGTCTTGAGGGTGATGCCTGGGTAAAAGGGGGTCCCACCAATGCTCTCTACCCTGGAGTTGGTGCGGTTCTCCAGATACTGCTTGGTGAAGCCAGAGCTGGCATCCAGGGACTCCTCGTTTTTTACGCTGATGATGCTGTGGAAGGCCACGCCGGCCGAGGCAGTGACAGCACTCCGTGTGGCCCAGCTGTCCTTCAGGAAGGTTGCCTTGATCTGATCCTCCTGCACCAAGCTGGCTCCGGCATCCACAGAAGTGATGGTGTGTGTGCCATAGTTAAGCACCAGCACCTCAGCCAGAAAATCAGCCATCCGCGTCTGGTTGTTCTCCAGGTGGCTGGCGATCGTCAGCAGCTGCTTTTTGAAGCCCTTGTCCAGTACTGCCCCTGGGTCAATCTTGGCAGTATAAACCAGGTTCCTGACTTGCACTCGGGTGGTGACAGCACGGTCTTTAACTTGGTGGGTCTTGGTTCGGTGGAAGTCATAGGAGAACTTGCCATTGATAGAGGAGAAGAGGGACAGCTCCAGGTTGATGGAGGCGGAGGTGATGCTTTGGTAATCCTTCCAGGACTCGATGATCTCGGAGTTGATGTCCAGGTTGCTCTGCTTGCGAGGGATAGTGAAGACCTCATCTGGGATGATATAAGAGCCATCTTCTGTGGTCTTGCACAGTGAGTAGGCAAGGTTGATGACTCTGCCCATATCCAAATTTCTGAGGTTATCCCAGCCCCCCCCCGGCAGGACTTCCAGACTTGGGAGATTCAAGGCCTTCTTGCACTCCAGAAACCCCCCAGGGGAGGACAGCTCCTGGGACTGCTCAGCCCCTCTCACCCATGCCACCGACACCCAGGCGAGCAGTACCCCCCCCAGCACCCAGCCCATGGCTGAACTGGCGCAGGGCCCTCACCAGACGTCCGAGCGGTGAGGTGGGAGCTGGGAAAATGAGCTGTCTGGGGGTGCAGCTGCTGGGTGGTTCCTCCTTTTGGGGGTTGAATTAAGAAAAGGGAAAGGAGAAGTGAGAACTGATGAATGTGAGAAATGACAGAGTGGAGCTGAGACAAGTGGGTGGGGAGCAGAAAGTAGAGGTGCCTGGAGCTCATTGCCTCCCTGTTGCAAAAGCTCCCCTTCCCCATGAAAGCTGCTCTGCTGGGGATGGGGCAGGGAGAAATCTCACCTTCAGCTCTTCACTGTGCCCAGGGACTTTCACTGTGTGCATCTCCCTTGGCCAGTGCTTGGGTGACTCCCCCAGATGAATCCCACCTGCTCCTGGGTGACCTGGGCTCCTTCATGCCATGCAAGGGACCTGTCCCCAGCCCCACAGCCTTGAGGTCCTGCTCTCATGACGGGGTGAGATCTGGCCCTGGTCACATGGGCTTTTCTGCCAACGCCATGGTTTTCCTCCACAGCAGAGGCGAGGAGAGGAAGCGGGGAGGTGGTGCAGTGTGGTTTCAGTGTGAGGGACAGTGCAATGCTGGTCTCCCTTCTCTCTTGTGGAAGAGGCTGCTGGAGACCCTGGGGCAGGCACTGGTGGGTTTGGAGGTCCCCCCCATGGGGGCTAGCCTATGGCACAGGTGTGTCCCCCCACACCAACATCTACATTAGGGTCCTCTGCAGCCTCCTCTACTCCACCCCTGTCCTTCCCCCAGGGTCCGCAGTGCCCCCAGCTGGGAAAAGCACCTCCTGCTCAGGATTGTTGAGCCGCAGGAAGCTGGTCCCAGTGGTACTGAGGCGGCTGTGCCCAGGGGTGCTGGCGCATGGCTGGGCCCTGGTTTTAGCAGCACAGGGCAGCTGCTGCATGCTTTGGGAAATAAACAGTTAAAGCAGCTTCTGCTGTGAAAGCTGTGACTCTTTCCATATGGACAGGCTCACTTCCCCTATTTTTGCTGGTTAGTTCCTCTTTCCAGGACGGTTCTTGCACGGAACGAGGCTGAAGCAAGAGCTGTGATGGAGGGCGGGGGTGCTGTAGATATATGTGTGCTTTTGCCAGGATAATGTCAGGAGCCAGGGGAACGGATGACAGGGACACCGTCGGGGATGGCCTTGCTGGCCTGTGTGGGGCTTGGACCCTGGAGTAGCTGGAAAACCCTGGTGTGGGGATTCCCTTGCTGGAGGCTCCCACACCAATCTGGAGCCATCTGCATTTCATACCGGGCTGTGAGGTTGGCTCACCTAAAATCTAGCCATGGGCTTCACTGCCACCCAACTTCGAAGCCTCAGCAGTGGCCCCCAGTGGAGAGCCACAGCTGGTGATGGCTGCGGCCCCTGGGATCGGAGGAGGGAGAGAAGCCCCATGGGGCAGACAGGAGCTGCCTTGTCTCTCCACCATGCAGGAGCAGCTCCCAAACAGAAACCAGGGCTTCTCCGTGCTGTGTCTGCTGCCTGCGAGCCATCCCGTCCCGGGGTGACCGAGATGTGGCAGAGCAAGGTAAAACCTGTCCGCTGCACCCAGCTGAGGGATTAAAAAAACCCAACTTTCCTTCCTGACCGGCACAGGGAATGAGCAACTGCCGAAGCAGGAGAGCAAGCCATGCTCACTGGGTGGTGAGCACTGGGAGGGGAGGCAGAGCCCTGGGCAGGGCTGCTGCCCCATCCAGAGGGTGAAGAAGGGGAAGTGAGGGAGGATGGCCATCAGTGGAGCTGCAGGTGCTGGAGCAGGAGGGGGAAATGTGGTTTGGACCTCTCCCCAAAACCAGCAGAGCCATTAAATGCTTGGCGCCGGGGCAACAGGTGGGACATGCTGCTCATGGCAAGCCACAGGGCTGATGGAACCCAAATTGGTAGGGCCTGGGATGGATGGTGGCAATGGAGAACCTTTTTGGCGCCACTTCTGGGCTGCTGGGTGCCAGGTCTGACTTCTGGCCCCATTGCTGGGTCTGGCGGGGACCCTTGACCATCTGGATCCCAGCCCCAAAGACACGCCAGGCTTGTGCATCGTCATTATGCTGGGGCTTCCTGTGGGCTGGGATTCCCTGCAGTGGTTCATTGTATAGCCTTGTCCTGCTACTCGTCCCTGGCACTGGGAAGTCAAGAATAAATTAGGCTGGGACGGCAGCACAGTTCAGTGCTCTGGCTGTAAAAAACAGGTGGCCTTAGGAAAATGCCCAAGGACTACTAGTAAATATATCAGTTTGCAGCAAAGTTCCTGGTGGGAGGAATTAGAGATTGTTACTCAGTGAACAGAAAAAACCACAGATTGTAACCGCTGAGCAATAAGAGCCTATGTGCTTGCGGGGATCACCTGAGACTGACATTAAACTGGAAAAGTGTGAATTATCCTACAGCCACCACGGCTTGTGTCAGCCAGTGGCTGGTTGCTGGCTCGGAATGCTGCTCAGCACCAAAGCATGGAAATTGCTTAGGACTGATGAAAAACTGTGTATATATCATGTCCATAAATAAATAGGCAGAGAGAGAGTCTATATATACACACCCACCCATATAGATATTTAAGCTTTTCTTGGCTATGCAGGAACCTGAAAGGGGAGGGGATACTTTTACAAGAAACAACCCTTTTGTCTTCATTGATGTTTTATTTTTAGGCAAAGCTTGGAGAACCTTGCCACAATGAGAAGCGGAGAAATGTGAATTCAAAAGCCATCAAAATGAGCCATGTGGGTTTTTTTCAGTTTTCTTGCCTTCTCCAGCTGTGACTATTAGCAGTTGGTAGAGGAGGCGGCCCAGTTTGTGGATTTTGGTGGAGAAAGTGGGACTGAGCAATTTTGCAAGCTCTGTGCCTGGCACATGTGCTGGTAAATGAAGGAGAGAAAGGGGGAACTTGGGCCACACAGATGCAGGTATGACTTGAGTGATTGTAAGCACGGTCCTGGCTGCTTGTTTTAACTAATATCTCTGCATTAAGATGGTGATTCGATCCAGTGTCGAGCCCTGCCTCCTAGAAAGACCCAAACTCAAAGTGCCTTCAGGCAGAAGGGCCCTTTCTCCTGAAAGTCAGCTGCAACCTGTTTTTCTACACGTCATCTCCTGAAATTTTTAGGGCTCTGTAGTCCATCTTGAGAGGGTCAGGTCATTCCCCAGCAGAGAGCTGTAAAAGCAGCAAGGAACCCAGGCGGCCCCTGGGGACAGTTTCACGGCACCACTGGGACCAGTGATGGCCACCACGTACCTGGGGATGACAAGGCCAGATGGGAGAGGCAAGCATGTCTCACCTGACCTCTGTGCACCTGAAGCCAGCTTTGGCTATCTCTGTTCACTGCCCTACCTGATGCGGACCAGTGCTTTAAGTTTCTCTTAAATTAACATCATTTAAACCCACTGGTTTTTTATCTTTCTGTCCCATGTTGCTTGTGCAACCTCTGGCATTGAAGGTGTAGAAAACAGTCTTTAAGCACTTACTTCTTCCTGGGTAGAGTAAACCTAAATTTTTTAGCAATACCCTTACAGCACCAGAGAGAGTGGGGGCAATTAAGGGCATGCTAATTATCCTTTTTGTGAGGACTTTTCCCAGGGAGTCTAATTGCAGGTGAGTGTCACCATTTAATGGGCCCTATAACATCCCCATCCCACAGCAACCCCTGTGTGCCAGCTCTGTGGTGGGGGGGGTTGTGTGGCTGCTGGAGGCATTTGTGGCAGGTGAGAAGCACAGCTACCTCCAGCACGCTCTTTTGGAGAGCATTTCTTGAAAAGGTATAGACTGCAACTGTTCCTACAGCTTTGCTTACTTGGCTTTGCAGGGGCTTTCCCAGCTTTGGAGAAGAAGGAAAGAGAAACCAGGCAGGAATCACTGGGTGATTCTGCTACCCACAAGGCCAGGCTTCCTCAGGGCCTGAACCCTGTTATTGTGGGTTTGTAATCAATATTGGGTAATTCTGCCCAGGGCATTTCACTTTTCTTCATGTCGATCAAAACCTGTATTTTTCTCAGTGAAGTAGTCACCAGCATTATTTCTGGTTGTATATAAGATATGTTTCTTCTCTCTGAGTGTTTTTTGAGCACAGGGAAGTTGCTCTAAAACCATGAAGATCTCAGGAAGGGTAACTTAAAATTGTGTTTCCCTGTATAATAATCATCTAGCTCCAGAGTGGGTGGAGTGGCACCATTTTCTGTAAGCTCAATTGCTTTATTGAAAGGGAGCAATAAATGAGCTTATTCAGTGTAAACTGACTTTTAGACTTATTTTTAAAGTTTTTGGGGCCTGGAGGGCATTAATAGGCTTTAATTTCCCTGAGCAGCCGGCCTCATCTGGCCCCCACAGGAGTCCCAGCTGTGCTCAGCCCTGAGCCCTCTGTCCTCTGAGCTATGTTGTAGCTGTGCTGGTCTGCAGCCCTGTCTCCTGGATGGATGCCTTGGACCTGTGCTGTAGTCAGCTCTTCTCCTGGATGGACCCCTTGGATGTCTGTTGTAACTTACCCCCAGCCCCATGCTCCTGATGGACCCTGGACCTGGTTCATCGCTTGCTGTGGCTGTCGATGGACCCAGTCACCAGCTCTGGCTCTGCCCACTGTGCTCAGGTCCCATGGGACTGCATCCTACTAGTGAGGCTACTGCCTGTGCTGGGGTGCCTCCTGGCCTTCCCCATCCTTTGGGGAGCAGCCAGTCTTTGCTGCTCCCTGACAGAAGCCACGGAAACAGTCTGTATTTTCTTTTGTATCTAGATTAATGATGATACATTAACAACAGAGCTGGAGTTGAGCCTCAGCCCGCCCAGAGAGCCTGAGTGACATCTCTGCGACCCTGGAATGGAGGAGTCCCTGGCAGGGGCACCCTGTCCTGCCCAAGCTCAAATGTTGCACTTGGGGAAAATCAAATATTGCAGTGGGCACAGACTGAAGTGCAGGAGACTCTGAATGTCAGGAAACACTTTTCCACTGTGAGGGTGACTGAGTACTGGCACAGGCTGCCCAGGGAGCTTGTGGAGTCTCCCT